TGTATGTATGTATGTATGTATGTATGTATGTATGTATCTATTTATTTAGAGTCACAACCCCTGGTATGCCTAAATATGGGAGGAAGTTTACTGCTTCCATTCTCTGTCTATTGGCTCGTCACAAGAGACCATCCAGACAGAAACCCAATATTTTTACTGTTGCCTTTTGACTTTCCTCTTTGCCCCCAAGATACTTAGTGCTAAAAACAAATACATATTGTTTTTGGTTCAAAATTTTTCTTTTATGTTGTCAAATCCAGAAGCCTACTGACTCCCCAACATCTTTTGTCTCTTCTTGTTTAGGTTTTTGTTGGCATCTTCTCTATGCTGTTCAAACTGAGGATTCCATTGTATATCCTGCATGCCTTAATACTTCCTTTTATCCTGCAGATACATTTTTAAAACAGTCTAATTTCATGAATCTTTTGACTACAGAACTCTGCAGAACAGTTGAGCATCCTTACTCGTGTGGATGTGGGCCAAAGGACTTTTTTGTGTGTGTTGCTACAACACTGTGAAGCAAATGTTTAATAATTCTCATTATTTTAAGCCAAAAAAAGAGAAAAAATATGGCAGTTTCCAGAACTGATTATTGTATCAGCAATTGTTTGCTTAGCAGACATATTTCCAAGGTTCTGTAAATAAGCTCTGTGTTCAACATAAATTACAGCTACATTAGCAACTGATTTTATCTGGCAAGGTCAGGGTTTTTTGTACATGTTTCTTTGCATGTCCTAGACCTATTTTCAGATTAATCTTCAGAAAGTTCCTATAGACCTTGCCCATAAAAAGGTTTTATCCATGATAGAATGTCTTTTTATAAACTGGAATTGGGGAATTAACCAGAACTGCTTTTCACTCTGCCTCTGTCCTCACAATTGCAGTGATTTTCTTTAGACTTGCTGCTTCACAAACATATAGTGATCAAATACAAATTCAAATCCTTCTCACAGGATACATAGAAAAGTGTAATAAGAGATAACTACTTGTTTTTTACTGGCCATGAATATGCATTCTAATAAAGGTGAACTGAGAAAAAGAGAGGGGAAAATGGTATTTATACCAGAATGTAGAATCCATTAGAAGGGTACAATAGGGATCCTTGTGTGTAAGGAGAACTTTATACAGGAGAGAGCAACAAAGAAGAGTGTTTTTCTAACGAGACTGTCATTAATTCTGCTGGTGATTGTTGTGATTTTAATTTGTGCATTCAGATTTTATTTTCTTAAATTATTTTTGAAATATTTTCTTATTAAAAATACATATTTCTTTTCTTCCCGCTGTGTAGAGTGTGTGGTGGCATGTCATAAGTTTGTTGAAGTCAATGCATTGGGCTTGACAGTAGCTGCCCTTAGCAGTTATGATAGTAATATGCGTGCAGCTGCCTACCATGTCCTGAGTTCCTTTCGCTCTCATCTGGAAGCGGCTCGGTTTCGAGAACAGAAACAGGTAGAGATGAGTTAACTTTAACAGAAAAATAAATTTTCTGGTTTAAAATAAAATCCATTCTATTCCAGTAATTTAGAATACCTTGACTGTTAGTTTTTTAAATTGAATCCAAGCTGGAATCATGATTAGAATGTTTATTTTTTTCGTCTGTCAAATATGAAAATGTTTTCAGAGCACTTTTTAATTTATCTGTCTTCCTGAAATTTGAGGTTATATATGAATTAACAGATAAGTGAATCCAAGTATGAATTAATATTCTCTATGCAACGCATAAATTAGATTTAAACTAGTAGTAATTTTTATTTTATTATGCATCCATGTATATCTTGTATATTCAAATGCTGTGGTTTCAATGAGTGTGTTAATCTGGGATTAGGATAAATACAAATTTATTTGCAGTGGCTCTAAAAGAAAATAATATTGTTCTATGAAAAACAGTTTTGTGAGTGCAATTAAAAGGTTTCTAAATGCAATTTTTAAAAATCTTTTCCAGTTATTTTACATTTTCTCTTTTTTGTAGTTGCTGTACCTTATGGACGTTGTGCAAAATGGAATAAAACAACCAAATCTCAGATTTACTTTCCCTTTAACACTATATATAGCTAGAGTTGCCCAGCAAATACTGAAACCAGGTACTATAGAACTTGGTAGAGTTTTTGTCTATGACTTTCCCATTCCATAAAAACAATGGAAATTTTGAAATAATAGAAATTACTTCTAGCTCAACTTTTAGATTTTGGTAGTGGTTTGCTCTCTCACCACACTGGCATATATAATGTATATTAGCTAAAGAGGAATAGAACAAGACAGTTCTATTGAAGTCCCACTAATGATTTTACCTAGCCTTGTAACGAAAGATTTGAGAGCTAAATGGCAAGTTGAGAGAGCAAACCACTCAAAAACAATGGAAATATTTGTAATTCACAAAAAAATGGGGCAAATGGCCATTTTCCATTTGAGATAGCTGATAATGCCTCCATTGGAGAAAAGTTAATAGTAGAGGGGAAAATACAGTGAAGTTAATTCTATGTAAATATATGTACAACAAAACAAATTTAAAAAATGATAGTTGATACCTGTGATTTGTATTAAATTTTTTAGATGTTTTATGCATGAAAAATATTTTTATTGTTGAGATAAGAATATAACAAATAAAGTTATATAATGTGCTTTGTAATGAATATGAAAATATGCTGTCATTTTTCATGAGCTGTGATTAGAATGTAGTATTGCAATCTAATTCTGCTGACTGTCAGCAGTTCGATTCTCACAAGGTCAAGGTTGACTCAGCCTTCCATATTTCTGAGATCTGTAAAATGATCCTCTGTTCTATGGGGACAATATGCTGATTCTGTAAAACTGCTTTGCGAGGGCTGTAAAGCACTATGAGGCGATGTATAAGTCTGTGCTACTGCTATTGCAATTGCTATAATATTCAATTGTGCTCTGTTGTTTTTACAGAGGAGCATATGTACACAAAGTTGAACAGATTTCTTCTATCCCATCAGTATTTGGATTTGAGAAAAGTGCCAGGATTTTTTCACCTTTTCTATAGCTTTGATTCAGAGGTAAAGAGACTCATGGAGATTTTATGTCCAGCTATCTTTTTTTCTTCTGCTGCTGCTCCATTGCTTAGATATTACTATTCAACTATTTTCCTGTTCCTGCTGTTATGTTGCCATTTTAAACATGTTCTCCAGAAAGACTCACCTTGAAAAACCTTTGCAACTTTTGCATGCTTATGTGACATAAGAAAAATGTGTAGTATTGTTTTATATCCATATGCAACCAAAGGTAAAATTTCTGATAGAAAATAGGTTTGATTTCACTATATATGCAGAATTATTATGAAAATCTTTAGGCATTATGGGTTGCTAATATTTATTTAGTTCAATCCAGTGGTGAGTTGCAGGAATTTTGTGAATTCCGATATGTTGCTCTGGGGGGCCCACCCGAGCTCCTTACTTGTATTTGAGCTCTTCTGTGCTTCTGCGCACGGAGTGCATGGCATCTACGCGATGCTCCACCCAGCAGTTGGAGCATCGCGGAGGCATTGCAAGAGGTAAGGACGCATGCGCGCACTGAGCGTACACTGGGCACGTTCATGTGGTGGACGCCGGGCTCCGTTGCAAGCAGAACCCACCACTGGTTCAATCTGCTGATTCAAAGAAAACTGGATAAAATTGAGTTGTAATCCCGAAATTGTAAGTGGAAAAATACCTGCTAGTATATCTGGAATTTAACTGGTTCAACTTTGGTTTAAGGATTTCTATTTTTTTTTAGTCTTCTTTTTGAAGCACATCTGTTGTCTGGACAGCATTCTCTCCACATGAAAGAGAACTATAATGTAATTTTGCTTGATTCCTTGGTGATGCTTTATGCATTTTCTTTGTTTTCCAGCACAAAATGGAGCGTGAATGGGTTCTAGCTATTATTGGAGAAGGTCTCAGAGATAAAAACTGCTATCAGCTATATGATTATCAAAGAATTTTCCATATCATTCTGTCCTTCTTCCATAGCCCATTGTGTGATGAAGCAACACAGGTAAAACTCTTTTAAAAATAAAATGGTTTTCATTTCATTCAGAGGAGGAATGGCATTTACACTTTTATCCCAAGATGTCAATCTGAGTCTGTCAGGGTAAATTGCTTATACATTCTGTAATAAATGTAACATTTGAAGCAAAAAAAACCTTACCAAATGTTGCTGCAGTCAGTTGGATTTTTCAGTCTGAGAGACATTTTAAACTCTTATGCAGCCATTTCTCTGAAATGCTGTGGAAGATGGCAGAGAGAGGCTACCAGGAGAAAAAAAAGCAAGTTTGAAAGCTTACTGCCTTTCCACTCCTGTTTGGAATAGACCCCTTTGGAGCAAAAAGCTACCTTAAGCAGAAGAATATAATTGAATGCAATTTCAAATTAGTCTAGATGAAAATATAGAATCTGCAAGCTGAAATTACCACCCTTTGCGATTTTTGATGTATGATGGGCAAATTGTGTATTCAGGTATAGAATTTCCATAACACAAAAATAGTCTAGAAAACAGAAAAACATCCAGAAAGCCTAATCTGACATGGATTTACCAATATGTTTTGGCACACGTGCACACGCACACACACACACACACACACACACACACACACACACACACACACACACCAATTGCTGTAGTCTATCTGAGCATTTATTATCCCAGACTCTTGTATATCTATCTTATCTCTCTAGTTGCCCTATATTGGCTTCTCTCTTAGTTGGTATGATTGATCCCACAACAGAAATTCAATGTAGAAAATGTAATGAACACTGGAACAACTACAGCAACATCACTTCATTCTATTCCCTAGGAAGTTTGATAGTATATGAACACAGATATGATAATTAGTATTTCTCCAAATACTCCAACTCTTATAGTTAGGAGTGAATATAGTGAATTGTAGCCACTATTATTAAATCATTAGATGCTATCCTGATCTATAACATGGTGCTAGAAAATTCCCTTTTATCATCATCATCATCATTTTTTATTTTTATTTTTTGCTTTTCAGTATCAGATTCTGGAAATACTTCAAAATGCTGCCTACATCACTAAAGCTGCTTATGAACTAATAAGGGACCATAGCCTTTTAACCTGGCTGTTATCTGTTGTTGAGAAAAGGTACACAGAAATCTCTTTAGGACTCTATGTTAACAAACTCTCTCTCTCTCTCTCTCATTTAAAGTAACAACTCAGTAAGTGATTAAGATTAGATTTATTTGTAAAGAACACGGTATGCAATAAAGCAGGTTAAATCTTTTCAATTAATTTATATTCAAGGGACATTGCCTTTCATAGAGGCATGTTTTCTTCTTCATATTTAGACTTTTTGACACAATTGAATAATAATCAGAAAAATGACTTGGTAAGTTTATTAAAAGCTTAAGTACTTCAGGGTCAAATAAAAACTCAATTCAAACTATGCCACCTCTTTTAAAAATATCAGACTTCACTCAAAGCAAGTGACTTATCCAAATTTTATTTGCTAAGAGATTCTGGAGAATGTAATATTGTATAATTGACACATAAAATTAAATGTTTTCCTCAAATACTTGTCCTTTTTATTTCTAGGTTTCTAGAAAACAAATTGTTAATACATATAATCTCCTTAATCGACACTCTCTGGAAAACTAATTTAGGAAATAAGCAAACTTCACTCAGTTCATCTAGCCAATTAAAAGAATTAAAAGAGAACCGGAAATTCCTTCCCATCCAGCTTATTAATGAATTTCTCCATGTTCTGCTAATACTTCTTAACCACATCAGGTAATTTTTATGTATTTTTAAGGTATTGTATTGTTGTACTTCTTTGGCATATGCTTTTCCTTTACAAAAAGAATTACTTTTTCATTGTAAATATTTGTCATTATCATAATCTAGCCCAGTCTAGGCAGCCATTAATATTTTCTGCTGTGTTCCATAATTCATGCTTTGTATCATTTGGAATTTCTATCTCACATTGTTACTAATTTAAGAGGCTTTTCTTAAGGTTGTTTCATACTAGTTTGGATCCTGTTAGCAAACTGAATATGGTGGTATCAACTACATGTTTCTTGAACTTTTGTTTTTGGTGAGCTTTTGACCTATCTTGACCCCCTACAACTATTCTTAACATCTAAGGGAGATGTTAAATCTAATTTTAATTCTTAATGGACAATAAAATAAATGTATCTTTTATGGTTTTCCTCCCCCATGTCTTCACATTCCTAAGAAAGAATTTGGAAGTTGAAATTATTAGCTTTGCAGTAGTTGAGCCACAAGGTGCCTAGGACATGACTCACTGAAGGGCTTCCTGATCTAGGAAAGGATGAAACTGGTGCACCAACTGGAGCTGCCAAAATGTCCTTATGACCACAGATGCCATCTGCTTACAGAGCAGAAACCCCAAATTGCATAATAATAACCCACGGCTTGGTCTTGGTAGGATTGAGTCAAAGTTGGTTGCTCCACATCCAGGGAACTACAGATTCAGAAGCCATAAAATCTGATAAGTCATTGGCTCCAAGTCATGCTAATTTTCTATAAGATTAATATATATATGTACTACATTTATGTCATATTTGTAATGTTTTCCAATAATCTATAAATTATCCATCGGTTTCTTGTTTTGCTTTATTCAAGGATGAGGTTAACTATTCAGTGCCTAACAAAATCAACAGAGAGCAGTGAATTATATTGTGCATAATGTGAGATGATATAAATATTTTGTCCTAATTTTGTCCCCTGTCTTTTGCTAAATAGAACCAACTTGGATCCTGTTGCGTTTATTCAGTTTTTCAGTGTATTAAGTTCTGTATTGGAATACCGTACTCTGGTTATTAAAGCCTTCAGAGAAATGGGCAGATTCGTTGTAAATGAACATATCCTTTCAAACAATGATGTGTTGATACTTTTGTACAAGTGGAGTATAATTAGCAAAGATGTGGAACTTCAGGATGACCTGCATGTTGTTGCACAACAATACCAAATCAAAGAATTGCTTAGTAAGTATTCTCAAAATACTTCAGAGAGTTGCCATGTTACATTAATGTGTAGATTTAGCAAATGCTGTAAAAATAGCCACTTATTCTGAGATAAAAAAAGATTCCTCCATTTGTAATAACTCACAAAACAATATGTTGTTTGCCAGATGAGTTACTCTAGAATATTGAATTCGGCAGGCATATATTTGAAAATATCTCCTTGATTCATGATGGCAAATTAATTTGAATATCTTCATGCTTAGCCTCACCTAAAGTCAGTGTCAAAAGGTTTTTATATAACGCAAAGACATTGGAAATAGGGACACAATCAGTGTTTTGGTTTGTCAAAGATTACTTCAGGAAAAGTAATCCTTAATGAGGGAGGAATGACTGAGGAAGAACTGTAAGGTAGTTAAAATACTTTGAAAATATGTAGGGATACAGCAGTGGTGAGTTTCAAAAACTTTTGAGAACCTCTTCTGTAGGTGTGGCCTGCTTTGTGGGAGTGGCTTGCCAGCCATGTGACCGAGTGGGAGTGGGCTTGGTAGTCATGTGATTGGTGGGTGTGGCCAACTTGTAAAATGTGAAACTCACTTAACAATGCTCTTGCTTAGCAACCAAAATGTTGGCTCAGAAACTCTGGCATTTGAAGCACGCAAGTCTTAAAGCTGTCAAGTTACATGAGCCTTGCACCCCTAACTCTTTAGAAAAAAAAACCCAGGGGTATTCAAACTTGACAGCTTTAAGACTTTGAGGTTTTGATAGGACTTTTAGAGGCGGGTGGGGTGATTGGTGAGCCAGCCAATCAGTGAGTGGCTGGTGGGGCAAGCGTGGTGTGGTTGGTTGCGGGGAGGGAGCTGGAACCGGTTCTAAATGGCATGGTAGATTTGTGGAACCTCTTTTATAGAAGAGGTTAGAACTGGCAGGCACCCACCCCTGGGATAGTGTATAAACAACTTTATATTGTGTAATGTGAATATGGATCTGATTCTGTTTAGCTAAACTGCTACGATTGATGTTAATTTTCAAGAGAAGTGTAAACCTTTGATGTACTTGATAGATATTTTTGCTGCACAGAATGGGTGCTATTCCAGAGATCTTGTTAGATATAAATTAGCATTTGCTTTTAATAATTGAGGTGCCATAGTTAACTTGGTATTTTTTAAATATTAAATCTGCTACTTTTTGAGGTAATAGCATACTTACTAGGAAGTTAATCTGCATGACAACATCTGTCAATTCATCTCAGCCTTAGTACTGTTTAATTATTCAATGATTGCCCTTGTTTCATTGTTTATAAAAGGGGTTTCCTTTTATTTACTTCAGGAAATACAGACAGGAACAAACCACGGTTACATTCTCAAGCATCAATCCGACTAGCTCAGAGAAGGAGTAAAATTGAAATAGAGGCAGCTGCAATCTCTGTATGGAAAGAAGTTTATTTAAATGAATGTAGAACTCTTCTGAGATCCGTTTTTATCCATTGGGAACCTGTTTTACTGGAAACATCAGCAAAATTGCCAACAGAACAGAAAGGATATAGAAATTCAGATCTTACCTGCAAGATTGCTTATTTAGTATTTAGATGGCTTGTGACATCCTTCCTTGATAGCAACTTGAACATTCAGAATGCACTCCTGACTTTCTGGTGGCTTAAAAAATGTGGTTTTGGAAACAACATTATATTGGATTACATTCTTAAAGATGGAACTCTGAAAAGGGCTGTATTTAAGCTTTATAGTAGCATCTGTAATGCCTCTGAAGTTATGAAGTTGAGTGAGCTCTCTGTGCTTAATGGAATCATGCTCCACCTACTAGAATCTCAGGGCCTGGCAGAAAATAATTTTCATGGAGCTGTGAAGAAATTCTGCCTCACTGAAGTGACAGAAGTGAACAAAGGTAACTTTTTTTTTTTTACAAAAAATACTCTGTTCTTTCCCTACATGTTGCCTTTGACATTGCTAAACTTCATGTCTGTTAACTTATATGTACTATTAGAAGACATCAAATTGAAAAAAACTGTTCTGCTTCATGAAACCTTGGAATTTGCCAAATATCATAATAGAGATTAACATTTCCAGAAGATGGGTTATGGTCAAGGGCAAATAATAGTTCAGAACATTGGGTTTTAGTATATAATTATCTGTAATATCCCAAAGGTGCTTTTTTCAAAAGACAACAGGACTTTCTTTGTTTTTCCTTGAAGACATTTCGCTTCTCAGTTAAGAACTGAAGAAGCTTCTTAAATGAGAAGCAAAACATCTTCAAGGAAAACCAAAGGAAGTCCAGTTACCTTTTGAAAAAGCACCTTTGGGACAACCACGACCTGGGTAACTAAGCATCTCCATAGATATCTTTAATATCCTTAAAACAAGGTACAATAATGTTTAATAGTTTGAATCTTCAAGTATTAGTTTTTCTGCTATTTTTAAGTCAAGACAATACAATATTTCTAGTAGCTATTCAAATATTAATTTTGGGGGGGGGGGGCTGAGATTATAACTGGAGTGAGTGGGTCCTACTGGAAGATGAAATGTTCATGGCAGATCTTTTGAAGACTAAATTAAATCCAAAAATCAGATACTCAAATACTAATAACTATGAACATCTAAACTAGGCATGTCCAACCTGCCAGATGCAGACCGCATGTAGCCCTTGACAGCTAGTAATGCACCCCCAGACCATAAAGTTTTAGTGTTATTATGCAATTTATATCCATTGACTATATTATACATTTTATGTATGACCCAAGAAAATTCCTGTTCATTCAGTGCAGCTCAGGCAAACCAAAAGGTTGGATATCCAGTATCTAAACCATTTTCAATGCAAGTCATTCTCAATACAAAACAAAAAAAGGTCTGTTTCAATTAGGGTAGAAGTATGCTAGGAGATGCACATGAAAAGCCAAGACATCAGTAGCTGAAGGGAGAAAAGCTGATGGGGAGAGTTCTTGAATGGCATGGTGGCATGTCATACTGGGACATCAACAGAGGCTGAGAAGGGCAGCCACTGAGAAAATTGAGGGGTAGATTAGAGGGATATGCTATGTTGGGATTTGCTAAGTGGTGAAGGAACAGAAGACAGAATATATAACTCTCCCATCTAAATATTGTTTTGTATAAAACCAAAGTGTTAATGGGTTTTGGCCGCCATACCACAACAGAATTTCAGCCATAGGGTAGGTTCTTTCAAGTTTGAAACAAAGTTGTTTCCCCATGTTATGCATACCCCTTTTGTAATTATCATTTTCTTTTTCCTAGCTGCAAGCATTTTCCTTTCTTCAATTTATATTGGAGACATTTGGCTAGGAGCAAGTCAACCAGACATGTTTATGACACACATTAAACTAATATGTGGAGCAACTGATACTGAACGAAATGACAAAAAAAGGTTGGAATTTGAAGATTCGATGGTTTCTCTCTGCAAAGACATATACTCATTTCTAAGTCTTCATCGTCATATTCAATATTAAACACAAACATTTGTCAACTTTCCTATCTTGAAACTAAAAAATAAATAAAAAGAACCATTGTGTACAATTCTACAGGAATTGTTTCAAAAACAATGTCTATTTTCCTACTAACAGTAGTACAATTTTAAGTTATAATAGGCATGATTTCAGATAAACTTATGTTTTTTCAGAATTTGGCAAAGCTGGTTTTAGATGCTGATTTTGTATATTGTGTTTTAAACTGCTGGAAAAAGTAATGAACAAAACATTGATTGGAGGTTAATAATTTTGCAGTAAAGTAAACATAGAGTAATGTTTACTGTTGTGTGAAATGAACATATCCATTAGAGTTGTGTAGGCTTTGAAAATGGTTTTAGAAGTAGTGTTTTGTTATATGAAGAAATAAAAAAACAGTCCCATTTTAAAGCAACTTTTATTTTCAGGCTTCTGTTTTAATAAATCACATTAAAAGGTGAAGTTGCTTTAATGGGGTGATCTTTTAAAAAACAGTATTTTTGTTTCAAGTTCATCACATAGAAGCCTGAAAAAAATTACAAAGAATGTGTGTGTGTGTGTGTATGTATATGTATATGTGTGTGTGTGTGTGTGTGTGTGTGTATATGTATGTATGTATGCATATATATATATATATATATATATATATATATATATATATATATATATATATATATATATATATACACACACACACACACACACACACACACAGATACAGATACAGATACAGATACAGACATACAGACATACATAAAATAATAGAAGAAAAAAAGAGGGGCAAAAAACCACCCCATGGAGTGAATCATAGCAATTTACAAGCAAATCGAACTGGCTAAAATGAAATTTATTAAGATAAGCATTTTCAACATTAGCTTTATATAATTGAGTTTTCTACATTGTTTGAAAAATTGCAAGTTATATTTAACATCCAAATAATATATAAACAGCAGTAAAATCAATACATTATAAATCATAAAGTAATATAACTATAATAATTTATGTCCAAACAAACCCCTGAAAATTAGAATATTATCACTTGAAATTTTAGATGTGGTACAAACTCATATATGGTATTATAATCCTTAAATGGTTCCCAACTCCCAAGTCCCCAAGTAATTACATTCTACGTCAGATTTACTTTTGAAATATAAAAGTTATTTTGGACATAGAGGTATACTCCTACGGGTTAATTAACCATTCTTCTGAGAAAGAATTCTGTGTACTTTCCTATCAGAAGTGTAAAGAGTCCTTGCAGCAATTAACATGTACAAAGCTGCTTCAGTGTACTTTGTGGGGATATAAGCTTTGATAATATTAAATTGGTTGGAAAGGAAACTAAGCTTTTATAAATTGTTTCAATCCATTAGAGATTAGTTTTCAACATGGTTGGCTGTGAAACATTGCTAACCAAATAGGGAAAAATGATCCAACCTGATTATTACATTTCCAGTTATTCTTAGAAAATGAGCTATATTTGTCATTGTAAAATTTTGCCCAATACTATACAACACTATTGAAAATTTTACATTACAAAAAAGAAAAAAATATTTACTATTTTTTATAGTAACACTGCTTCTAATACATGATATATTCTATTCAGATAAAAAGATATGTAACTTTAATGTGCATATACATGCATACATAGAAATGTTTGTATTTTATAAAGTGAATAATTTATAATATAGAGTATTATATGTATTTTGTTCCACTGAATCTCAGGCATAACTACTTTTTAATTAGTCTTAAGTAATGTTCAGTCACATCTTATTTGCAATTAGGAACAAAGTCAATCTTCAGATTCAACCAGTTTTTTTTATAACAATCATTTTGTATTGTGTAAAAATACAAGTAATGTAATATTTCTAGTACTAATTCAATAGAGATCTGGTTCTGGTTTTATTCAATTTCCTTAATGATTTGAAGCATGACTTTTAGCTTCTAATCTGCATATATAATATTAAATTTTTGTCTAATCTTTGTATAATTCATTTGATATATTTTAAATTAAATTGTGGATTTCATATTTTCTGGTAAATCTACCCTTTTGTATTAAATACTACAATGATTGTTATATAACGAAAAGGCCAAAGTATATATTTTTTAAAGAATTATGTTTTTTTTACCTAGTTATTCCTCCTATAATATTGTACTATAATATAATATTATAGAATTTCATTTATGAGAAGGTTTTACACTGAATTGTCTATATGGTGACATGGTAACAGAACCCTTCAATTTCTTCTTGGTTATCTACAGATGTTCATACAGTGTCATTGTTAACAAGATTTTGATGAATAGTTTCTGAATAATTCCATGGAAACTTCTTTGATCTTCCAGTCCTGGGAACAAAATTGCTAAATTAAGTTTGATTATCTTTAAAGTGTTATCAGGTATTATGAGAAATCAGTAATAACTGATAACCGAACGTTCATATTATAGATTTATTGCTCAGATCACACTGAACCTTATAATAGTGAACATTTCAAACTAGCATGTTTTCAATGCTAAATCAGTTTTTAATAACAATAGCTTCCTTTATAATGTTTAGTCCCAGTAATGTTTATTTGGTCAATGCCCAGCAATGCAATATTTATCTGTATGGAACTGTTGATCACTTTCTGAGAGGTTGTCTATGTGAGATTGGCTGTCAGATCAATGTATTCTGCAAATTGATCAAACACTATGCCTAAAATATATAAATTCCAAGTACATATGTAGACATTCTTCCCACACAAAATTGATGTCCTCTTTAAAATAAAAGAGCATTAAATTTGGCAGATTAGATCCAAATTTATTTATGTTAATTTACTTTAGTTGGAACTAATGTTTAATTAAAGTAAATTGAAATGAATAAATATGGATCTAACCTGCCAATTTTGTAGGAATTAGGAGATGAGAAAGTTTATAGCAGGGGTGTCAAACTTGCGTCATCATGTAACATATCAGGACTTTTTTCCCTTTGCTAAACCAGGCGGGGGCAGGGGCAGCATGTGACGCAACTGGGTCACGGGTTTGACATCCCTGGTTCATAGGAATTTTATGTTTGCAATATTCAGTAGATACCCTTCAATATATTTTCTTGAGATTGAACAAATTTATTTGGTTATTGGCCATTTTTCTGATATTAAACGCAACATGCGATAAATACATAAATTGCTTGGATTTATTTATTTGTCTTTAAAGTATTGAAAGTATTTTCAGAAAAACTGAACTGCAAATAATTAAGAACTTTTTCCTATGGGAAGAGGGTAAAAAGAAACAAAAATACTTTCACAGATACTATATTAGAGATGCACTGATACAGGTCTGGAATAAAATTAGAGAAAAACATTACATGAAAATATCGACATGGCTTTCCACTATGAAAGCCATGACACATCCCAATACACTAGATCTATCGAAAATGGTTAGATATAGTGAAATTTTAGACAGCCAAGGGAATTTGAAAACAAATCCAGAATTAAAGGAGCAAAATATAAATATAGATTGGTGGCCACATCTCCAACTACAATTAAGATACAAAAAAGACGTAAAAGAATATGGAATATTCACAGAATTACAACAAATAGATAAAATTTTAATTGGCCCAGAAAATAAATTCATAATGAAAATTTACAAATATTTATTAGAAGTAACATTAGAAGAAGAAAAAGTTAAAGGTTGCATGATAGTGTGGGTCAAAAACTTTGGTTACCACATAGATCTAGTGGATTGGGAAAGAACTTGGAACACAAATTATAAACTAACACGATCAGCAGCACTTAAAGAAAATATATACAAAATGTTTTATCATTGGCATTTGTCACCAACAAGATTGGCTAAAATGTACCCAAACATGAAGCTGACCTGCTGGATGTGTAAAAAAGTACAAGGGACCTATTATCACATATGGTGGACCTGCCCGGAAACACAAAAATATTGGACAAAAATTTGGAAATGAGTGCAAGAAATTACAGGAGAACAGATAAAATACAAACCCGAAATCTTTCTACTGGGAATAATCAAAGGGAAATATAGAAAGAAAATTAAGTACATATTAACACATCTGCTAACTACAGTTAGAATAGCATTTGCCTAATGCTGGAAACAAAATAATACCCCCTCGGACGAATTAGTGATAAAAAAACCTTTGGATTGTTCAGAGATGGACAAATTAACATTGAAATTAAAAGATAAAAGAAGAGTCAGAATATTATGAAATTTGGAACAATTGGTACAAATGGCTGCAAAACAAGAATAAAAATAATTAAGCCAAAAAAACAATATATATAAATATATATAGAACTGTGTATAAAGGTGTGTAAATATAGAAGCGAAATATATACATGTACAGGTATGATGACATAATAATGTTGATGTAATGACTAAAGTATTGTAGAAGGGAAAAAATAAATAAAGAACTCTCCCGACTATGTTTAGTTTATTATGTACTTTAAATTCAGTGGTTTATTAAATCATATGTAAGAGTTAAAGTCAGTCTTTTCAGTGTATATAAAATTTTTCTAGAGCTGTACAAACTATAACTACAAAATCATTTGCAGAATAAAAGATATTTCACTCACTTTGTGGATGTTGTACCAGACCGAGACATGTAGAACAAAATAAAGAAGAGAAATGCCACAAAAGAAAGAAGTCCAATCCAAAAGCCTATGACAATTGAATCTGTTGAAAAATAAATTTGAACTCTTCAAATGAATATGAAAATAAACATTTATATATAAGTAATTCATATGTCCTTATTCTGTTTAAATATTCAAGAAGAGATTGTCTTTAATGCGGTATTTAAAATATATGCAACATTTCCACTATAAATGGAAACTAGCATCCTCAAGTCTAGCTGAGACTTACTGAGATCAATGAGTATTTGGATACAGTAGTAGTGAAAGTTAAATATTGAAATCCCACTTTAGCATCTCTTGGTAAGCTCACACTTGGAATAACGCATCCAGTCTTGGTTGCCACAAATCTAAAAAAGATGTTGACACTCTAGAAAGAGTGCAGAGAAGAGCAACAAAGATGATTAGGGTACTGACGGCTGAAACATAAAGAATGGTTGCTGGAATTAGTTATGTCTAGTTTAATGAAAAGGACTAGGGGTGACATGATAGCAGTGTTCCAATATCTCAGGGGCTGCCACAAAGAAGAGGGAGTCTAGCTATTCTCCAAATCACCTGAGGGCAGGAGAAGAAGCAATGGAAAGAAACTAATCAAGGAGAGAAGCAGCCTAGAACTAAGGAAAAATTTTTTGACAGAACAATCAGTGGAACAACTTGCCTTCCAAAGTTGTGAATGCACCAACACTTTTTAAGAGGAGATTGGACAACCATTTGTCTGAAACGTTATACGTTTCCTGCCTGAGCAGGCAGGAACAACAAATAACAACTCTGTTATTCTGTTCTGTTATTTTATTATTTTAATAATCTATTTTAAACATAGGTTGCAGGTGATTGCCTAGTTACTTTCAAGAGATATTTTTCTAGATTACTCCATTAAAATTGAATACTTTTTATTTAAAAAGAATAAAACATACTTAGGATCTATTTCCTTGTATTCTAGATGTAACAGT